GGAGAGAAAGGTCACAAATTCCACGAAAAGGGACATTTTGGCAAAGGCCACAACACGAAGGGACATCACGAGGTCCACAAGCTTGATGAATTCAAAAAGGATAAAGAATTCTTCGACGAACATCATGATCACGGTCATCATGAGGAACACGGAGGCCATCATCACGAACACGGGCATAAAAAAGGAGGCCACTTCAAGAAAGGACATCACGATCACCACCATCATGAGGGTCATCATGGCAAGAAAGGTCACCATGAGAAAGGACACCATCATCACGATCACAAGGGCCATAAAGGCCACGGCGGTCACGATGAGCATCATCACCATCATCATCATCATGGCAAAAAGGGCGGCCATGAGGATCACAAACATTGGGGATTCAAAAAGGGACATTAATACAAATATAAAAATTATTATCTCGCTAGTTTTGCTTGTTGAATTATGTTCATTGAATATCACGCTGCATTAATTGTTGTACATGTCAATGAGCAGAGAATAAAACTTTTTCAATAGACATATTACATTTCATTTATATATTTTCGCATGTTATTGTAACTATATATTATTCAGCTGCGATGTATAATCTGCGTTTATTAAGACATCACTTTTTTTTTGCGCTGATACATGTTTCCTGTGAATGCGCAATGGCTTGCATTCATCTTGAATACTATAAATGTATATTGGACGTAAAATGAAATTATTTCCACTGTCGACCGTAACTCGCGAAATCGGTAACTGTCGTAATAATTTAGTGGAGTTTCACGTTTTGTGCTACATCAGTCACGCTTCTGCGGTGCAACAGCTGTTACAAGAAAATATGGTTGCTCGTTACATACAATTTCCATAAAACCGTTCAGTCACCGCATTCAATGGTGTAATTGACACGATTTTGTTATTGTTTTTATCAAGCGTTTCTCAGGAATATAATATACCTACTTTAAAATCAACAAGTTAAAATGACTGGATCGATTCGAATTACATATCTAGCTCTACTACACAGAGGAAATGTATTATAAATTAATACTGTGACGATATTCACGCTATATAGGATTCAATAAGTGTAATATCAATTTCCATCAATTATATTTTCGACGATTATCTTGTAGATAAATGTCGCTTTCAATATTTGTTTAACGTGCTATTTATTAAAAATCTGTTTCATAAATATATTTTGTTATAATTTTATTATAAATTATTGTTCAATATAAAACTTAAATAGATAAAATTATTATCATATTTTAAATACACGCTGTACGCGATATTAATTAATGATATTAATCAGTTTTTTTCGTATTCATGCTTTTTAGTTAAATGCGCGTCTTCGTCGGAGCCGTAACTTTTATAATTATTATAAAAGGAGTTTTCACCTTTCTCCTTGTTATAACCATGATCGCGATTTTGTGTATGCTCTTTGTCGTAAAAGCCTTTTTTTCCATCATTTTCATACCCGAACCCAGACTCGTGATATCCGCCTTTCTTGAAATCGCCTTCAGCAGCATTATGATGTTCGTCAGCAACGACGTGCTTGTCGAAATAACCTTTCTTGTGGTTCTCGTCATAGAAATCGGTGAGTTTTTTATATTCATCCTTGTGGTAGACTTTATGAAAGCCGCTGGTCTTTTGCCCCTTTTTGTGGTATGACGTTTGCCCATAGCTGCTACCCTTCTCACCTCTCTCAGTCTCGTCATAGCGCCCATAATTCTCGGTTACGTCGCTACGCCCCTTTTTGTTCCCAGTTTCGATATCATAATGTTCTGAAAGATCCAGCAAGAAAATAACATTCCGCCCAATGAATTTATTTATCGAAAAATATAAACATGTAAATCCGATCGTTCTAAATGTAATCGGTATATAAAAATTCAATAACTCTGTCTACTAAAAAAAGAAATATATAACAATCCACCTTGTTGCCTGCTTTTATCATGCTGCCCACGTTCACCCACGTCAAATTCCACTCGTTTGTTGTACCCTTTGTCACCCTTTTCTCCATGAGCGGAATTCCGCACAGTCGAATACTTTTCGCCGAGTTCGAACGAAACGTCGATATCTGAACGAGGGTTGTCGAGACCCTGAATAGGATGAGTCGCTATAAAATCAGCCGCTTTCTCGCGGTTCTCAGTCACGTGATCTTTAGCCTCTTCTTTTTCGTCGTCGTTATTTTCGTCATCGCTGTCATAATCATTATCCTTTTCATTTTCACTTGCCTCAATGTCGCTCCTTTTGTCGATATTTCTATTCGTCTCGCTTGGTCTAGATGCGTCAGACGCATAATACGGCGCCCGAGGAACTAGCTTAGGCGGCTCAAGTGACTGCGCGTATTTCGCTAATTGGCCCGCACCATAATTAATGAAACCATCGTGCGAGTAAGGCTGGCGCGCAATTTCGTGCTTCGCAGTCGCATACGTGAGCAGAACGGGTTCGTGCGGTGACGCAGTTTCAGAAACGACGGGCGCAACAGGTGCAGGACTGCCGACGACGTAATGCACCGGCGCCGGTGCATGGTAGTAATGTCCGCTTCCGTGATTGGTGTACCGCACGTACGAGACCGGAAAGCGCCCTAGTTGATTGTACGCGTATCCGTTGGCTAAGGTCTCGAGATCGGCTATTCTCATCTTAGAGACCATCATATGCGATGTCCCCGACGGCGATGCACCATTGCCGCATACGCCGGCGGCGAACAGCACAACCGTCGCCAAACTTGCAATCATCGCAGCTGCAGCCTTGTTCGCGTAGACACAGCACCGGATAATAATCGTTATTACGTCCTGCGGCTCAATTGCTCGACACTGTCATATTCATTTGTTCACGTTATCGCTTTATATACACACGCGAGAAGGACGTTAATCTTTCTATCGCATAAGTAACCAACTGTTTAACGCCACCGAGCGTTTCAGGGTCGACACTTCAATTGCGAAACGGGCGATGTAGTTCTTTCACGATATCAATCAAGGCCCGCATTAGTTTTGGCAAAAAATTCTACGCCGGTTATAATTGAAGTCACGGAGAATATTCAGGACGGTTTAAATCAAGGTTTCGAAGAAAATAAAATTCGAATACTAACAATCATTCAATGGAAATATTTCTTACAGATCGTAATGCCTTTAGAATTCCTGCTCTCTGTGAAATTCCGATCTAATCCCGCGAGTTCGCTTTGCATCGTCGATTGACTGGCGTGCCCGACCTTGAATTGCACGCTACGCCAGAGACATTGCGACCGTGTGAAATCGACAGTGCGGATTTGTCGAAATGTCGCGCAAGTCGTCCTTCCAGATGCATTCGGCACTTCTGGGCGAAAGCCAATGGTCACCGGATCGGCCAAGCGATTGTCGCGCGATATAAAAGAGCTGGTATTATTGCAATCATCACAGTGTGTGTCAGCGCGTTTGTGCGATTCGTACCACATCAAAAGCCACTCTAACAATTGCTGTTCACTCACAAATACGCTTTACGCTCAATTTATAGATCAAATTGGATTATCCACTGGTGCTTTTAAGCAACGGAAATTGTCCACAAAACAAATGAAGATTTATCAAAAATGGTTTAGCGCAGGATGGTGCGCCGCCTGCATTTTACTCTGCGTTTACGCGCATCCGGCGAAAGATCGACTTAAAATGTATAATAGAAATTCGAAATTCTTCGATCCAGAAACGATTAATGGTTACGGTTTCGAGGAGGAAGTACCTACGACTAAATTATCGAGAGAGATTATCGAGGACAGTCTGGAAGAATACGAGGAGAAAGGCCCGTCGACAATGAGAGCGATTACTACAAGAGCAAAGAGCAACGTGGTTCTGTTACCTTTGATTATAGAACCCGAAGCGGAGATGCTGCCGCCGGGTTATAAAAGTGTGAAGCCGCCCGGAGTCAGCCACATGGAACTTGTATTCGCGAGATCGCAAATCGACTCGCCGGGCCGCAGGAGCGCGACGTTACGAGCTTCGACGAAAGGTAAATCCGGTAGATTTGATCAAGATGACGACGCGGATTACGCCGCTTCGCAGCAAGAGACGCAGATCGCAAGAAATGATCAAGGTAGCGACAGCCGCGTTGTCTCCGAGGTAAGTTCTCAGGGTAATTCGAAAAAAGAAAAAAAGAAAAGCAAATACAGCGAAAGCTCCGGTGTGAGAAAGAGCCATTCCGAAAATGAGGATCGCGTGAAAAATCATAAAAAAAGGTAGCAAAGAAGAAGGGAGCCGCCTATGAGACTAGAGATGATCGCAAAAAAACTCACAACGCCGCTGGATATCGCAAAGTTTATCACAAGGACGAGTTCAAGAAAGACGCCGATTTCTACGATAACGAACGTCAGGGTGGACACTTCGAGAACCACGGTCGATACGGAGAGAAGCACGCCGTCGCCGAAGGCATGTACGTGAAAGGCAAGAAACGATCGCAGATTGATCGAGGTGGAAGCCAATAACCAGAGGAGGTTCGGAAAGACGAGGGCCGACCGAGAAGCCCAAGGTCATGTCGCGACGAATTCTTCGGGAACTTGAACGGATTCATAAAGCAGACTGGCTTAGCGAAGGGTTGAAAGTTCGCTTTCGACAGCAACGACAGCCCGACAAGTGTTAACACATAACGATACTAATAAGACACGTGTGAGTTATGATTGTACCACTAGCTACGAGTTTCACGAGAAATTAAAATATAACAAATGTACATTACGTTTATTCATTCATTCATTCAATACGCGTGTATTCATTATATTTCACGTCAGGTCTCATATATCCATTGTGCGTTTAATAAAATATAAAATAAGGTGAGCGCAAAATTTTGTTTCTAGATATACATAAAAATTGATAAAATAATTCTAGGTTCGTGACATTCGGCTTTACAAAATATTAGTCTGCAATGTTTCTATAAGACATCGATTTCTTTCATAAATGGTTTTTGAATAAATAATATTGTGATATTGTTATTATTTCTTTCTTTCCTTGTCAATAGCGTATGCAAAGTTTCATTGTGCCAATTTAAAATGAATCGATATTTTTTTATAAACAGTGTATTTATTCGCGTTGAATTTTTAATATTAAATATTAAATTAAAAGTCAACATTAAAGTCAATATTAAATGTAAGTTAAGATAAATATATCGTTTTTTTAAACATCTAGTCCAACTCTACGATTTCTTTTTCCTTTTGCAGTTGAAAAACGTTTTTTTCATTAATCATAATTTTTTATTCAATCTTTCATTCAATTTTTTGAAGCGTGAATATTTTTTACTTGCCTTGCAATAAATTTAATTTCGCGTTTTCCCCAATTCATCACGACACGGCGGTTCTATTTTTATTTACGTAACCGGCCGATGATCGAACACGGTCTGTGGCAGCCACATACGCGGCCAGCGGACGGTTAATGGATATTAATAATGGCCGTATTGTTGCGCCGATAAATTGCAATCTTTCGCGGGTGGCCCGACCGCGAAATGAGAATGAAGGCACATAATTGATGCATATACGGGTCGTTGTATCTCCCCGCGTTCTCATTGCGGGTTCGCCATCGCCGTCCGCGGGGGCTTTCCACTTCGGTAACGTATACCTATCGGTCTCCACCATTTCCCCCGCGTACAGTCTGACTACGATATACGTATAAAGCCCGTATCCCCCTTCGTGGCTCAATGAGCTCGGGTTCCCCGCATTCATCAACAATAAGCCGCGGTACCTACCGCTCTCGTATACGTATCTCACGCGTACCGCCTTATGTATTTACGTGTATGTGTGTGCGTGTATGCGCAACCACACTCTCTTGTATACGCGTATTGATGTATATACGTGCACGCACACGGCGTTTATATTATATGTATCTGCCCGTTTATGTATACGTATATATGAAGGCGCATGTATATCGGAAGCTGTGGAACGCGGCGCGAATACATAAATCAGGTGCCGCTCTGCAGGCTGCCACCCATATCACTTCGTACAACGGCCATGAATGAATAGAGCTGTGTTTGAGTTATCGTCCGACCTGGTCTTCCAGAAACTGCGGAACGCCGGCGTTAAGTTTTACCGCCCGGAATGCTTCTTAATGGAAATGAAATGCATTCTTCTTTAAAGCTGCCTCGAATTTTGCAAAATTCGGCATGACAAAATGAGATCAGTGAACATTATTTAATCATGTAAATAATTTTAAGATTTTACTCGACATCCTCTCGCGAAAACTTGACGCATACGTAACAAACGTCAGTTCGTGGATAATTTATGTCAAAGAAGTAGACGGTTTCGCCCCGATGGCGACGTTTTATTCCGAGAAGAAATGCAATTTATCTTCTGATAATCTCCAATCCTTCGAAAGCGGACGTTCGCCTCGTATCTTGCTTTCCTTCCTTTTTATTTGACCGTCACACGTCCGATGTGCCCGTGTGATTCTCTAAGAACGGCTGATTTTGAGGGTCTGATCGTCTTTCTGCGGTAGTTTATTGTCACCCGTTTATCTTCGCTGGGAAAAATCTTAGTAATAAAACAGTAAGAAAATCTGCCGCATTCTAATGGTACTTGTTTCTTTTAAATGACATGAAATATACGGTGACATAAAGAGGTCAGAAGAATGTGTCGCAAGGATATAGAAAATATAAACAATATTTTTAACATTATTAAACATCTGCGCACAATTTTACAAATAATTGTCATTACTTATTAATAGGTCAAAAAGAAGAAAATAAGATATTTTCACGTTTCTACCTCATAAAATACATAGACAAGCAAACATAAATCTGAGAATCCTTTGCGGAATGCGTACATCGCTTGGATATGTGTTGAATGTTTTAGTGGAGAATTATACGAATACATATAATACATATGTATATTTGTAGGATAAAAGAGATCACAGTGGAAAAAATATGACATCGATCTTGTCGAGGTTGGTTCGTCCTGTCAAAAGGTGCATGGAATACAAATTGTGTATACTCGGTATACTTAGAAATCGAAGGTTGTCATCGGAGCATCGTCGTGCAAAATCATACAATAAAATCCACTGTAAGTTTAAACTTACGCTTTGTATAAAAATGTCATAAAAATAAAATATCTAATGAAATCGTAAAATTCTTTATAAACCTCATGGATTTTACATATTTTTTGTCAAGAGAGATTGTTAAATATTAAAGTTCTAAGTAGTTTCATTAATTTTATATATAATAACACAAAAAATCATAATATGTATTCATGCACCACAGTTCATCGACCAGTCTACAAGACAAGATTGGCTTTCCCGGCGGACTACGATAGGATAATAACTTTTATGAACGATACGTACTTCTAGAATAGACCCAGTCATGATGAGCATAGATTTAGGAGAGCAAGAACCCGCGCCGTTATATGTTGAAGCTTATGCATGACGAGGGTATGACGATAATCGCCGAGGGACAGGACAATTGTATCGTAGGGGCAGCGGTAAACGCGGACTCCTGTCCCAAGGACAGGAGTCCGCGTTTACCGCTGTCCCGACAAGTTCGTCGAGCTCGCTAGGTGCTGCGAATGCGGGCCGACCCGCGACGTGATCGAGTTCGAGGCTTACGTGACCCGCAAGCCGAATCTCTGGAAGCGCTACCGCATTCTCAAGATCTTCGAGTGTAGCTATCTCGCGGTCGAGCCGGACTTCCGGAACCATGGTATTGCCAGAAAGCTCGCTGCTAGATAGCTGGTATCTCGCGCGCGATTGCGGCTATCGATTGTTTCGCGTTGACTGCAGCAATAGGTGAGTCCGACCGAATT